GCGCGCCTGCGCTCTGCTCGGGGCCAGAGAACCACGAGCAGGGAGCCACCCCAGCCACTCCACGGCGGCAAGGACCACTCAGTCGGAGGAGTAGGACAGTGCTTGCAGGCATGCACAAGGAATGGCTGTGGAGATCTGAAGATGTACTGCAACGTTTCATCTGTTGATTAATGATGGGTAATCAATTCCCAATTTCTTATTTGTATCTCTGACGCCACCCACTGACCTACACCACCCCGTTGCCTCTGCGTAAAGCCCCTCTCAGGTATGTGGCTCCTCACTCAAACTTCCCTGCAGGAAAGACCTTAAATATCCACCGTTATAGTGGATCTCTTGATTCCCTCCTCTAAGTTGTTCCTCTTTCAGACTCGGTCACCTCCAAGAAGGGACAGTGTCCTCTCACTTGTTCACAAAAAGGACAGTTGGGTTACAGGTGACTCCTGTCTTCACATCACACTGCACACTCTGTCCATTAAAAATAGCCTCCACCTATTTCTTTCATTTATTTATTTTTTATGTATTTGGTACAGGGTCTCGCTAGGCAGCGATCCTCCTGTCTTCAGCCTCCTCAGTGCTGGGATTACAGGCGTGCACGGCCATGTCCAGTTTCCGTGGCTGGCTCAGAGCACTCGCGGGCTGGGCCAGAGCAGCGTGCGGGCCTGGGGTCAGCCTCACCTGTTTCTAACGGTAGCACCATCATCCACGATGTGCATCTTCCCAGTAGCCTCCTAACATCTCCTAGCTTTCCTTTTTTGCTTCTGTGGTTTATTGTCCTCAGAACATCTAGAGCATTTAAAAATATTGTTTCTGTTTAAATCTCTCCAGAAGCCAAAGTGCGTACAGTGGCCTGAAGACCTTACGTGTTCTGCCTTCCAGGTTCTTCTCCAATCCCTCACTTCATCGCTGCCCCAATTTCTAGGCGGCTGCAGGTGGTCTTCTCAGTTCTTGAGGGGCGCACAATACTCCACACCTCAGGACCTTTGAACTTACAGCTGGTGGAGCACTCTCTTCTTTAGGAGTAGTTTCCTTCAGATTTAACTGTCAAGTCTCCACAGGTACATAATCTCTATGTATGTAATTTATCCTGGAACATCCCACAATTGCCACTTTCCTGCTGAAACTTTTTGTTTGTTTTGCTACTGGGATTCGAACTCAGGACCTTGTGCTTGCCAGGCAGTCACTTGTGCCTGCTAAGCTAAATCTCCAATTCTCTATTCCATTACTCAAACCACCAGCCAAGTGTCAACAGGAAAACCAAGAAACAGCAAAGCATCAGTAAAATATCAACCAACAAGCAAGTAGTGTTCGACTCCGGGGACGTTTAACCCCAGATAGGAGTTACAGTGGTGGTAGAAGAGGCTGGAGAGCCCCAGCAGGGACGTTGAGGCGACAATCCAGAAGTTAGAGCCTCCAGGAGTCCGCCGGGCTCCTCCTGCCTGGGAGGGAGGGACCCTGCTACCTACTCGGCCCTCGCAGGAACCCCACTGGCTGTGCTGGGAGCCGGGGAACTGCGGCGACGACGGGCCTGGCACAGGCGCTGCGGAGAGAAGGAAGGGGCGACGCGCTGGATGGTCCGCTGCTTGGCAGGACTCACACAGGCTGCAGGGGACAGCGCTCACCCCTGGTCTGATGGAGGGCAGGGAAGCCCCGCACCCCGCTGCTCTACCGTCATCGGCATATTTGCATTTGAGTTTTGGTTTCTCTCCCTTGGCAGCGCCCCGCAGGCTCTTGAAAACGGTACAATGCACTAGGATGAACAGACATGTTCTTTTATTTTTTTATTTTTTATTTTTTGTGATACCCAGGATTGAACTCAGACCCTTGCACTTGCTAGGGGAGCACTTATTCCACTGAGCCATCTCCCTGGCTCAGTGTATCTGACTTACAGCAAGTGTGTAATAAACAGCTACGGAACAAACCCCAAGGAAGCTGCGGTGTGCAAAATAACAAGGTGACTTCTCAGCTGAAATCTATTTATTTACATCGCATTACAACTGATTTAGTTGGAGAAGCTTGTAACTTATAATACTTTTTATTATGCGATTCATTTGAACACTTAGTATTTCCTAGGGATTTTACATGCAGAAAATTACCATTCATCTTCGTGAATTTGTCTGAATGACATGTTTCTCCTTGATTCATTTTGCCTTTAAGTTTTAAAAAATAGTTGATTAAATCTGAAATGCCAAACTCACTTTGTCAGAAATTTTTTTAAAAATAAAACAACCTTGAAAATAAAACACACTTGTATTGTTTATTACTAACAAAAATTGTACACTATAACCCAGAAAAATGGGTTATTAAAGTAATTTATTAAATGTCAAGATTAAAGAGAAATTTGGCTTTTGATTAATTAAGCAATAAACACTGTAAGAACCTAAAAATACTAGTTAAGCTGAAACATTCCTCTATTTTGGAAATTGCCCACCTTACGAAATTCATTGCTTAGTCTCCTGCTTATATTTTCTTTATCTCTCCTAGCTATTAAATTCTATGTGAGTTATACATTAATAACTGCACTGCAGTCTCTGATAGCTTTGTTTTCTTTTTTAATTTTATTTATTGTGTGTGTGTGTGTGTGTGTGTGTGTGTGTGTGTGTGGCCAGCTCAGCCCACCAGGGGGCGGGGCGGGCTGGCATGTGGTGCTGGGGGATTGAACCAGGGTCCCTGTGCTTTGCTGAGCTTGTTCTTAGTAGGTGCCTTAGACCACTGAGCCATCTCACCAGCCCCTCTGATGGCTTTGTAATAAATGAATACAAAATAAAATTAGGATTTTATGACCAATTTAAGTATATTGAAGATTTTTTTATTATCAATTTTTTTTGTCAAGACTCTGTAAACCTAAAGACAAACAAGAGACTGAATTCCAACCTAAAGATAGGTTGTGTGTTCCAAATAACTTCCAGACCCCCCAAAAAATATTCACATTGTCCTTTGGGTTAAATGATTTATTTAGGTTAGTGGAGTGTTCACTTTCGAAAAACAATGCCAAAGACGTGGCCATTTTCTATCTCTGTTCTCAGGTAAGAATAACTTAAGCACACGATCGCTCTGTGGGGTTCATTTCTGTTCCACCTCAGCCACTCAGAGCTCCACAGAGAGTGGCTGTCATCCACAGAGTTCATGCTTGTTTTCTTCTTTCCGGCCCAAGTCACAGGCCTCGAGAAAGCCAGAAGGGGCGCAGCAAGGGTCTGTGAAGTTTGTTGTTACTGAGACTTTCTCTGCTTCCCTCCTGTCAGCAAGCATGTGCTCCATGCACCACCGAGGAACACCGAGTTCAGCTGAACATCTCCCATCTCAGTGAGAAAATGTAGGAACAGCTTTGCTGGACACTTAGCTTGGAGAGTCAAAAGACAAAACCTAACTGTAAAAATTTACAAGTGCATAGTGGAATAAAGGAACTTCTATTCATAGGCTTAAATGATGACACTATGAATCAGACATAAAGAAGAGATCCTTGTGTTTCTGGTTGATGCTATCAGTGTGCACATAACTATTTTATATTCTGTAAGGAATGGAGAAGTGCAAAGGTCAGTGTTTGGGAGGTGAGGGGGAGCAGTTCTCTCCTCCCTTGCCAGCTCCTTAGTTCCTGGGGAACTACTTCTGGTGTAACACACCTCCTCTACCCAGGCTCTTGGCTTTCTCTAGGAGCCGGAATAACAGATGACCTGAGGCCAGGGCGTGCATAGGGATGGCCTGTGCAGCTTACTGGGTCTCTGAAACTCCGAAGGACCAGACAAAACTGAGTGCTGAAGATTGGTTTAATAAATGTGGTTAGTATTTAATTATAAGACATGTCTTACTTTTCCAAGTCTGTAAGCATGAAATAGGCTTAAAGTATAGCTAAAATTAATGATTTCCTATTGAAAAGAATCAAGTAGAAATGGTTGTTGAATCCTTTACCCAGTAGGTATTTAAATCTCAGACTGGTAACTTGATGTTGAAGAATGGCTCTCTTTTCTTCTGGGCAGAGTTCAGATTAAAGGATTTCTTGAGGCTTATTTTATGAAGTTATTGATAACTATAAATGATTTTCAGCAGATAAAAAATACTAAAGTAAACAAAATTAAACTTAGATGATATAATATCTCCTCTCCTCCTGAATGGACCTTTCCTTCAATGTCAAATGATGAGTTTAATGGTTCGTTACACCTGAACCAAGAATTGGTTCTCAATACTCGGGTAACGTTCTTTGCCTTGAGGTCATATTCCAACTGCTTTGATCCACGAAAGAAATAGAAGAGCCCTACAGACAGAGAGGCATAATTAGTTATCTTGTATAACTATAAAATGGTGCCATACTTTAAATTTTATCAATGTAGAATAAAATGATATTATGGAGAGCAAAGAAACTGGTAGACTTACATAGATACACTTTACTTTTCTACTGCCATTGGGGAAATCTTATTATATCCCCGAGGAAGAAGCCAAGGTATGAAGCGTAAGTTTCAAGGGACTTACAAATTTATAGCCAGACTGTGGTCTGTGCTGGAAGTCCTCAAACTAGGTCTTGACAAAGCAGTTCAGCGAGAGGAGGATGAAGCCCCTGAAGGGTTGGCCTCGTGCCCTATGTCCTCATTCATGAGAGCTGTTATACTTTTATCTGTCTTAGATTTTCAGGTTCTGTGCTAGACGTCATTAAAATAATAGATCATGTCACTCAAAAACATTTTTAGACTCCTAATTACTCCACTTTCTAGGGCACTGGTTTTGAAGGTGGAGTAGAAAGTCTGAGTACATTAAATTCTCTGGGGTTCTTTAAAATTACAGATTCCTGGCCTCTCCCTTGGGGACCGGCAGGGTGTTGTTTCACACAGGAAGCCCCACACTGTATACATTAAATAGCAACATTAGAGGTCGAGAATCATTGTTCAATTCAGTCTTTGCTACTTCTTACACTTTGGGGATGTTTTGTATCAATGATGAGTAAAAATAATTTTGACACTTTTTACATAGATTTGAAATAGCATTATGAGAGTTCGACACATACTGATTCAGTTTATGATAATGTCTGTGTGGTTAATGCTTATTATTTCATGTATATATTTAAGAATAGTATATGTATTTTAAAAAAATTACTTGGTACGGGTCTCATCATGCAGCTCAGATTTGTAGTGATCCTCCTGTCTCAGCCTTCCTCCCACTGGGATTACAGGTGTGTGCCACCACACTGGGTCTCAGTGGCCAGCTTGGAGTGGGGCCAGTATGTGGCACCAGGGATCAAACCCGGGTCCTTGTGCTTGCCAGGCAGGTGCCTACACCGCGAAGCCATGTCTCCAGCCACAGAGTGGGATATTTATACTAACATTAAACTGCTTGTGTTTTCATGCTGGTTTCCTCCACAGTCAATATAAGTACTCTAACAGCTGAGGCAAAGATGCTCACCTTTATGCTGGAAAGCAGCGTCAACGCGGAGACCAATTCCTGGAAACTGTTTGATCACTGCCCGTGGGTATCCCCGGTCCATAGTTTGGGTCGTCTCGTCGTACCTGCATACATGCATTGCAAAGGTTTGTACTGATTCTTCTTTGGGGAGTTTATTTCTCCCAATGCCCAGAGTCGAGCAGGGATGTGGGCGAGAAGCAGGCCTGCTAGAAACAAACTAATAGGATCAATAATACAAAAATATTTTTAAGAGTATGTTTGTTTGAGTCATTTGTTATATCTTGGCAGCAAAACATGATTAGGTAAAAAGCATAATTTGTCTTACTGGTACTCTCCTCCTCCTCCTCCTTGTCTTTGTCTTTTTGAGACAGGGTCTTGCTATGCAGTTCAGGCTGGCCTTGAGCTCACTTTGAGGTCCAGGCTGGTCTTGAACTCAAAATGATCCTCCTGCCTCTGCTTCCTGAGTGCTGGGATTGCAGGTGTGTGCCACCACACCCTGCCTTTACTGGTACTATTCTTAGGAACCAAACAGCTCTAACAGCTTAGAGCTTTCCAAGATTTTGACAGGATAGCTTTGTATCATTTGTAATTTGGTTGGCATCACCAGTTTTATTATTTTAGCTTTGTTTTTTAAGTTTTAGAAAGAATTTTGGGCTTATTAAAGCGTCTTTTAGTGTGGTAAATGCCATCCAACAAAACTTGCTTTCAACATAATTCTCTTGAAGAAGGCTATAGACTTGTTTCCTTTTTATCTGTTGAAGTGAAGCTACTGTGGTTATTTTTCTTTGTAAGATGAAAGGGTAAAAACAAAAATAAAATGAAAGAGTCAGGTTTCTGCACACTTACCTCCAGCACCAAATGCCCACAAAAAAGTAGGTTTTCCTCGTGTCTCGGTCACAAACAGCTGCGTCGATTCTCTTCACGCGTCTTGGAAAGCCGAGAGTGTGGATGGGCTTGGGGTGACCCGGCAGGACAGCGTACCCCCTGACCATCCAGAAGTTTTCATCTGCGAAGAGAGAAAGTGATTATCCTTTGATCTGTCCCCTAGAGGAGAAAGTGATGTCTTACGGAGTTTGAGGATAATTAGATGCCGGCTCATTTCCATTTCCAGTGTTAGGGATTTAGCGATCCTGGTTCTCTCTGTATTCTTACTGCTTTCTTTGGCTTCTTATATCATTAATGCTATGCAAATAATATACAGCCGTAGTCAATAGTGTGTCATTGTTATCAATTGCTTTCTCTACTGATTGTTTTTCATTGGCAAACTGTCAAAACAAGCAAGTATGTTTGGACATATTCTCCTAAATTCCAACACTTAAATATAATCAAAAGCTAGTCATTTGAGAAGTGAGGTTGCTAGGTGAAATATAAAATCCCAGTTAAATTTAAATTTCAAATGACAACAATTACTGTTTTGGTGTATCTGAAGTATTGCAGGGTGGCATACTTGCAATAAAATTTTATTTGCTGTTTTTCTGAAATTCATAGCATCCTATATCATTTGCCGAATCTAACAACCCCATCATCAGAGAGCAATAAAAGGAGCTGGGGTATCTTTATCTGGCAGAATGACAAGAACTTTTTTTTTTTTTGCCAGAACCGGGGATTGAACTCAGACCCTTGCGCTTGCCAGGGAAGTGCTTATTCTACTGAGCCATCTCCCCGACCTCGACAAGGACTTTTAACATTTTATTGCACAGGTTCCATTTAGGCCTGTGAGGCTGGGGTGTGCTTATCTTTGCAGCTGCAGAGCATCTGCTGGACAGCTGCTCTTTTTGACAGGGACCTAAGATCAGGGTGGAAGCCTTGCTCATTCGGCTCATGCATGAAGAGCATATTCTTTTCACCCAAGTATCCCCTCTCCAGCTGAGGCATCCAGAATTAAGAAAAGCTCAATGGGAAAGTTTACCTTTAAAAACCAGAATTGTGTCTTTGGGGTTCTCATAGGCAGCTTGAAGATCAGCTGGCAGAGACGGCCAGAATGAAGCAACTGATTCAAACTCCACATCAGCAATGTCATAATAAATCCTCCATAAGTGCCTGTGTCAAAAAACGACACTGTATACACGTAGCCTGCGCCGCTATGTCGATGGCAGCATTGCAATCTTAGGCTACTCTTCTATCTAGATGACTGGCATTTTCCTCACGTAATTAGAGAATTAGCACCATTTCCGCAAGCACGTTTAGGTGGCTGTGGGCTTAGGTCCACCCTTTGAACCGCCAAGGCCAGGACGTGTCTTTGTGTGCGCCCACTGGGAAGGTTGCTGACTGCCCGCGGAAATCACGTACAAAGTTTGGAGAGTGCAACAGCTCGTGTCAGCCGCAAGGCCCAACGTGCTGAGCCAGCACCACGCATCCTCAGAGGCACTTTTTGATGCTCATGTTCGCTGGAATGAGGAAGTCTTATTACTGGCATGCTACAGCCTCTCCTCAGATAGTTCCTTCTGGCTGAAAAATTCCAAATCTATGAATAACATTTGAGAAGTTTCTAGTTCCCAGTTCCTTCTCCACATAGGTGACTCTTGTATGATGCCTGTAACTGGTAGGCTCCCACTCATGCTGGTCAGAGCAGGATAGTAACAACCTGCTTAGGGAGTCATGGCTGAACATAGGCCCACTTTAAGGATTATTTCTTTTTGCCTTTGTATGTTTGTCAAGTGGCTTATGTCCTGACAGTTTTGTCAGAAAATACAGTCCTGATGTACACAACTAGCACACAGTGCTACCATTAATTTTCATACATTATGTATGGTGAGAGATAGGATTTTCAGAAACTACACCTCACTGATACAACATTGAGAAATGATCACCTGTGTGCAGATGCCTGTTTAACAACTAGCTCCCCAGTTGGAGAAAGACTTAAATTCTAGCATTTGCTTCTGTATATTGTGTGCATACTCCCAGACTCCAATCATGGCTAGTTTCATCTACTACTGCGACATGCAAAATTCCTGAAAATTTAACAATAAGCTCCTGAAATTAGGTATAAAGTAGTCCCGCACAGCACCAGGATAGGCGTATTATTTTGCTCAAGTAGTCACGAGAGGTACACTGTAACTTTACCTTCTTGTATTATAAAATTTAAAAATTGCTTTAGATCACTTAAAATAAGCTCAACAACCAAGCAGAAGACACAGGCACACGGCAAGACCTTCAAGTTGGATGTGCAATTGGCAAGCGCACTGACATGCGTTTTCAGAGGCTCTAAGCTGCAGGGATTTTGTTCCCAAATCCCTTAAAGGAAAGTCTTCTTGGGAAGTTCAAGGGCCTAAGGGAATGGGTTTACCTGCCTTTAAAGAACATTACTTCTCTGCGGAGAGTGGTGATTGCATCAAAAGTCAAGCCCGGGTCACAGGCGTGGGGTACATTGGTTCCCTTTGTTATGACAGGTGCTGTTGGTAGACCTCCTTGGTGAGAAAATAAATAGGAAAGAAAAATAAGGTGAGAGAAGACTTTAGAAGACATGAGGAAATTTTCCCGCAGAAGGATCTTACTTAAGTGAATTTTTGCTTCATAATATTTCAAGAGTAACTTTCTCAAGTTCCTTTCCAAAAAGCTTCCTATTTAGCTGCCAGGCATTCAGATTGATATTGCTCACCGTAGATAGACTGGATACCACTGATATCGTCCTGAGAAAGTGGGTACTTTCCAGGGTCCAAGGTGACGTAATTTGGGAACATCAGTGCTTTGGCATCGTTGGAGTGAGACAGCCCCAGCGAGTGGCCAAATTCATGTGCCGCCACAAGAAACAGGTTAAATCCTTGAGAAAACAAGAGAAAACAAGAGGCTGTGCCCCAATCAGAAGGGCAATGGCTGCATTTGAGATCAGGAAGTAGCTGAGGAGAAGGAGGTCTTGCTGCGTAGTGTCTGATTCTCATGTGCCACACTGTTTATCTAGGACACGTTTCAATACTGATGCTGATACTAGTCATGTCATGGAGAAATTCAACAGCCGCTTTGCTTAAAAATGGCTACTCACAAGTGGAGAGCATTACTTTAAGATGAAGTCACACGTTCTTAGTTGCTGCTTTACTTTATTATATGTGACTATGTTGCTGCTACTTGTGTGCTCCCAAGATTCCCCATGGGCTGTAGGATGAGGTCCAAACACTGTCACTGGGCCTCCACATTTTCTTCTCATACTTCAGCAACCAGCCACATAGAGCTATTTGTATCTCTCGCTTGTGCCATTCCTGCTCTTTCTGACCTCTGTCTGTACGCTTTCCTGCACTCTGCCCAAAATGTTCTTTCCTCTACTCCCTGCTATGCTGAGGGACTGTAATAAAGTGGTCAGAAGACAAATCTCTAGGAATGTCCATCTGATAGACTACAGAACGAGGCCAAGGGTGGCTTCCTCTCCTGCCTTCCTCAAGCAAGCCCTGCAAAGCTGCAGCCTTGACCTCCTGACTGTTTAATACTTCACCTCACATATCCTTCCTGACAAAGCATGGAGCCATAAGGGTGAGAGTTATTATGACTACATTTTAGAGGATTAAAAAAAGAGTGAAACCTCTGGCTGATTTCTTCGTCTAGTTATGACAGTGAAAGCTGGCTAAGCAAGGGGAGTAATTCTGATTTTGGCAAGTGTGAGGATATTTTGATTGTTCGCATGACGATATTCCTCCGTCATCCTTTGTCTGTTGTGGTGCAAACCGATGTAGCGATGGCGGCAGCCAATCCCATTCTTCCCCTGCTTCTAGAAGCTCAGCGCTGACCTCGTGTTTCTCACCAGCACACGAGAAAGGACAGTTGCTTCACGTGGCGGAGCTGACTGGTGAGTGGCCATAGGCCATTTCGCTGAAAGTGTAGAACTGACCTAGACTACTTGGAGTCACTTGTCAAAACTGAACTGAAGTGTATGCTTGTGTGCTGTCATTAAGCAATAATACATCAAGTGTGTTTTCCCTGGTCCCAGCCAGATCCTGGGCCCAAGATGATTCAGCCCATGATAGGACAAAAGGGAAGAGAGCCCTGAGAATAGCCTGAGCCTGCTCCTTTGTTTAATGCTTATGTTCTTACTGTGGTAAGAGTTTTGTTTTTACTTGAAAAGTAAAGCACAGCTAGTGCCAGTCAGGTTTAAGAAGAAGGAGCTGACCAGCCATTGCTGTTTCTCTGCATAGTTTTAGGCATGTAGAGGACCCTCAGGCATTGTGGACATGAAGATGCGGGTATCCTGAGCAGGCCAGGAGTAGCCATCTCCTGAAGGCATTTTGCAAATAAGCCTATAAGCTACACAAGTACTAAATAGTTATTGAACACTGTCACCCATGTCATGGTGAAATATGGAAAACTGAGGAGAAATTGGGAAGTTTACTGGTAAAAGCCAGCTAGAAGGGTGGCTATTATTTCCAGAGAACAACACAGTCTGTGCATCAGGAAAATCAGCCTCACCTGTTGTTGCATTCTTGGTTGTCCAGTTCTCATCCTCATCGAAGTGAGTGTCACCGCCCAGACCCGGGCCAGGAGGAAAAGCATGGCCAAGTACTCCTAAGGGCCCATCAAAGTGACGAGGACACCAACCATGGACTGAGATACAATTCACAGGGGAGAACGATCAGCTTTCTCAGATTTCCTGAGATGAAAAGAGCATGCTCTCCTTTTTGTTGCAAACCTCACCTCGCGTCCTAAAGGCAATCATGATGTCTGCAACCCCCTTGTAGACCTTGGTGAACATTAGTGGTGTGACCTCGCTCCACACTTCTAAAGCTTTCTGGATGGCCTCATCCACATCCGCTTGTGGCATATCTGGAGTATAATTCATTATTCTTAAAAATTAACAGAAATACAGCAGTTGCTGGTTATACAAGTACTTAGGTACACGCATACTGCAAATGTCATTTCTGATTCGCCAGTCATGGGTGCAATTACTACAGGAACTTTTGGCGTTGGCTTGTTATTTAACATTTGAAGACCACTTTATTTAAATGAAGTACTCTTACATATGTTGAATAAGTCAATTACTTCTTCTGCCCTATGGATCAAATAGTCCACCACTTTAACAAAGGGTGCTTAGAGGATAAATGACCTTCCTAAGAGCGTACTTAAGTGAGAAGAACTAGGCCTGCATGGCAAGTGCAAGGTCCTGAGTTCAATCCTGGCTACAGAAAAAAAAAAGTGAGCTAGAATTAAATTCATATATATGTTTGCTTGTATAATGATTGTATCATAAATATAATTTTCTAAATAATGAAGTTTTCTTTTCTTTTTTATTTTATTTTATTTTATTTTTTGGTCATTCCAGGGATCAAACTCAGGACCTTGTACTTGTCAGGCAAGCACTTATTCCACTAAGCTATCTCCCCAGCCCCCTCTTTTCTTTTTTAAAGACATTTTAAAAATTTATTTATTTGGTACAGGGTCTCACTATGCAGCTCAGACTCATAGTGATCCTTCTGTCTCAGCCTCCCCAATTACTGGGATTACAGGTGTGCACCACCATGCCCAGTTTTGACGCCTGGGGTTCTGGGGCTGGCAGGGCATGTGGTACTGGGGATCGAACCCAGGTCCTTGGGCTTGCCCAAGCAAGTGCTGAGACCACCCAGCTGTCTCCCTAGCCCTTATTTTCTTAAGTGGCTTGGGAAATCACATCTTATTTATGTGTCATGTATTAAGGGTATTTACTCAAAAGCTACAGATAATGACTGAGAAAGATTTTTCTCTTGCTTATGTTTCCTGTCTTTCTGAGCCCATTTTTAATCTCAAGTCCTAAGATTCAGCAAGTGAAGGGAATGCTGTTCCCGAGAGGCAGTCAGAGTCGCTGCCTCCTCTCAGGGCGCAGCTGTGCACCAGCTTCTTCCTGGCAGTGAGCCCTCTTCTGACCTTTGTCCCTGAGATGCCCCAAACCAAACCCCACAGTTGGCACCAGGATCCACCGCTGACAGGACCCTTGTAACCGCGCCTGTGTCCCTCCAGGTTCTCTGCACAGCCTTCACCCGTGCGTCCGAGCCAGGGCTCCTGCTCCTGCTCACATAGGGAGGCCGTAAAGCAGGCGTTGGGGTGCATTTGCAGGTGCCAGTCTCCTGGGTCACCCTGGCCATGCTAGCTAACTCTGTGCCAGTTTCTTTTGGTTTCAGGTGACAGGACAGCCATGTCTGCATCATAGGAGTTTTGGGAGGGTGGAACACATGACATGCATGAAGTGACATGCGCATGGGAGGCGTCAGGAAAGTTAACGATTAATATTGTTTCTTGGAGATTATAAACATCTTGGACTAGTTGGCATAGGCTGACAGAGGCGTTACCTGTAGGTGAGCTTGCGCTTTCTCCACCCAGGGAGCGTGTAGCCATACTGCCCCACATCGGGCACGCCACACCTGGGCGTCTTCATGATCTCCAGTGTGTTAGAGTCCAGCTTCCCTGTCGCTGCCAATCCGAAAAATGCTTGCATTTCCCGGAGTTTGCTGTCTGTGAGACTCCTGTTGTTGCTTTGAGAGAGATGACTGACTTCTATGTCAATAGAGTAGAACTGGTTGAGATATGCCTGACCAAAAAGACAAAAAGGCACACACTGCCAGAGAGCAAATCTCCACCCTTCAAAACCCAAAAGCTCTCAAATCCTTCCTAACAACAGGGCGGGATAAGCAGAAGTAAGTAATGAGGGAAAGAAGAAGGGAAGGATGCAAAGACGAAAGAAAGGAGACACCCTGTTTTTTCAATTCCAGGAACTGGGTGACTTATGAGTAACTGTAGTTAGCCAAACCCCACGTCCTGTGCTGAAAGTTCTACCTGGTAAGTGATGACACATCACACATCGTTTTGCTGTTACTGTCTCCTGGCCTTTCCTCAGAAGAAATTCTAGAGTACATGGGTGGTCATGCACTTTGCACATTTATTTGAGAACCAAACGTGGCAGGTGGACTGGACTGACATTGCTTGGGGGACTTTCTCAAGCAATGTATGAATAAAGGGCTCTGGAGCACAGAATGGATCCTCCTGGCAAGTTAGAGGGGTGGTAGGCAGCTTTCCTCCTGACAGCCCTGCAACCAGTCTCCTCTCACTGGTTCTTTTTTTTTTTTTTTCATAATGTATTTAGTATAGGGTCTACAGGGTCTCATTACACAGATTCGACTCGCAGTGATCCTCCTGCTTTCAGCCTCCCAAACGCTGGGATTACAGGTGCCCAGTCTCAATTGCCATCTCAGTGCACCCCAGGGGCGGGGCTGGCACTGCACACTGAGGATTGAACCCCGGTACACTGGTCCTTGATTTGTGACCTTTGTTCAGAATTGCAGCAAGCCCTACCACCATCCCCTGACCGAACCTGCATCTCTCACCCAGGCCCTTGATTTCCTGACAAAGGAAAAGGAAAAGAATATCTTTATCACAAGAAAACTCAAGATTTTCTTGTATAAATTTTTTGACTTTTCAGTTCTGAAGAAATTAATAAAATGAACCTGTTACTGCAAGTTGTTAACAATATTTACAGAGACAGTACCTGAGCCAGTTGTATATTTTCCTCATTTTCCTCCCTCTGGTCTGCAGGAAACGCAGAAGAAAATGTCACAAAAAGCAGAAAGAGAGGCAGGAGTTGCTTCATTCCTCTTTCTCTTCAGTTAGAGCCTGTTCCTGTTTGCACAGATTTAGAAAACAATGGTGAGACGTGGCATGAATTGGCTTGTATTATCATTTAATTAATAACAGAAAAGGACGCTTGCCACGAAGTGTGTCATAACATTTTTCTCAACTAACTTGATTTCACAATCATGGTCCATGGTTGTTTGGTAAATACGTTGTCCACTGCTGAATCAAATATCCTAGCAAGTGAGACTCCAAGTGACCTTTCTTCTTGTGAAGTTGACTGCTGCTCTATGAATTCCTGAATGTTTGTGAAATGATTTTCTTCTGAAGGACCATAGAATATCTCTGGGCTATTATACCAAGACAGGTGAACAGAAATCAGATTATGCCAGCTGAGAGGAACTTCAGCTGTCCATCAGGCACCGACTGTGGCCTCTGCCTGGCACTGTAAATGCGATCGTGTTGGAGGGTCAGGGTTCCCCAGGCCCTAGCGAAGGGCTCCCTGGCGGCGAGTAGGCAAAGGCGCAGCGCAGCCTCTGAAGATGCAGAAGGACCACAAGAGAGACAGAGTGCCGCTGACGCCGAGGCTGATGGCACCACGAGGCTTCATGCTGGCTGTGGGTCTTGAAGAATAGGTAGAGAGCGAGCCTTGCAGAGGAAGGGGGGTCTGGAGAGGGGCAGGCCGTGGAAGCAGGTGGCGCCCGGAGATGGGCAGCAGGGGCTCTGCTGTCGCTAGGGCAAATACGGAGAAAACTATGGGGCCCGGGGAGAAGGGAGCCGTGGAGCGGACTGGAGACCCGTGACCTCCCTGGGGAGAAGCGGGCCAGCGCCTGGGCATTGGGTGTGCTGCGCTAGTAGGGTGAGATACGCTCGAACACAGCAGAGCACACCGAAGTAACAGATGCTCCACAACACAAAACGCATAACAGATGCGTTTTCCCAGGCCGGGGAGATGGCTCAGTAGAATAAGCGCTTGCCTGGCAAGCACAAGGGTCTGAGTGCAATCCCTGGTTCAAAAAAAAAAAAAAAAATCAAATGCGTTTTCCCCTCAGACGCGGGTTTTGGTAGTCCAGGGCCTCTGTGGAGACTCCACACCCGCGGGGTCATCTGCCTCGCCACTCCCCTGTCCTAGCACAGTGCCTATGGGCCTGCGTTCCGTGGCATCTGAATTAAGAGCAAAAGAAAGGGAAAAGCAGAGAAGTGAATTTTCAGTCTCTCTCAGGAGGTCCCAAGCAATATTCAGTTTACACATTTTGCCTTGAAGTTAAAGCATTGGCACAGTTAGCTTTAGACAGGTTACAAAGTTTTAGGGGGCTGCATTGTCTAGGGGGCCTCCTCTCAGGAGAGGAAGAATGGACCGGTGTCAGCGCAGGTTGCTAGCAGCTTGGGTCCTACTGAGGCTTCTCCAGTGTGCATTCTATAAATCTCTACTCCTAGGCTGGTGGCTTGCTCTGGGGTGGGCTCCCCCAGTTTCTCAACGTTCAAATCCCTTAGCAGCCCAGGGGCAGGCAGGCCTCCGGTGCACGGTGCCACATGTCCATGGCATCCCTCTGGGGTGTTCACGGTCTCACTACTAGGTCAGACTAGTAGTGATCCACCTGTTCACAGCCTCCCAAGAGCTGGGATTACAGGCGTGTGCCACCATGCCCAGTCTCAATTGCCATCTCCGCAGGCCCTGAGCTGGCACTGCAGGCCCAGGAATTGAACCCCCAGCCCCAGTGCCTGCTTGCAGGTGCTTTAATCCTCTGAGCTATTTGGTTAGCCCTTACAAAGTCCAACTTTAAGCACCAGAGTTATGCCAGAGAGCTGCCAGAGAGCGAGGATACATCTGAAAGTGTCAGGGAGTGCGTACAAACCTCACACAGTGTGGGTTGGCACCAATGGAGGAACGTCCCAGCTTCCTGGGCACGAGAGGCACGAACATTGGTGGCTTCTCAGGGGCCTGGTAGAACCAGGCAAGCACGCGTGGGCCATAGCAGAAATCTCAGTTCCGCGCCCCTGTCGTGATCTGGCCTTTCCTCCTTCCCTGTACCACCTGGCTTGTTTCCTCCCCCTTCTTCCTGGGCCTACATCCGCCTCCAGAGGTACCTGCACCGAGATCTTGACTTAGGCTGTAATGCACCTAAATAAAAAAGAATCCTAAATTTTAAGTTCAATTTCTAGTATCTCCTAGACTCACACAAAACATCCGTGGGTCAGCCAAGAAATGTGTTTTCAAGAAGGAAATAAAGATTTTTCAACTTCTTATGTTGTGATTAATGTCCTATGACTGTGAATTATGGGTAAAGAAATAATAAGAATGCAGTTTTCATCTAGAAAAATTCAATAGATGAGTTTTGGCTTAAGAATCCATTATGACTAGTTTACAGATTTACCAGGAGTTTTGAGAAAATGTATGTTTCATTTTTTGACTTAAAAACTGACATTTTGACTCTGTAGTTAAAAATGGAATATACAAATCTGCTTTTGTCATACTAGTGCAATAAATTGGGGACATAGATCCCCTTCTCTTCCTAGCACAGCACCACAAGCTTGTGGATGATTAATGGATTTATGCTGAATAAATGAGGAATTAATGAGCAGAGTGACAGATTATACTAGTCTGTTTTCTTATCTTGTAAAATAAGTAAAAAATAATGTGCTGACATATTTGAGGGAATTTTTGAGGACATACTATGTATAAAATTTTCATAAAATGTAAAATAGTTATTAAAATTTACTATTGATACAAGAATTCAGACAAGGAAATAAATGGCTGGAAGTATTCTTTTTTAAACTTCATGTGTACTATGTGGTGGCACTTTAAGAAATTATAAGTAGCTCAAAGATCAGTCATTTAAGATAGAAATATTTTGAGCTTATTTTGTAGGTAATTTTGAATTCATACTAGTTATTTGTGTAATTTGAATAAGAGGGAAAGAATACAGCATGCACTGGTGAGGAATACCTTTTACAACCCATAGACATCACATAGCAAGCTGCATTACATGGTAACATCCTTAAATGTGCAAGTATGACTTTCATGTCTTGATGTTGAGGTCTCGTGAGGCCCGAGATTTTTTTATTTTAAAGAGAATATAAAATAATAGATAAAACATTAGAAATGATACCGAATTTCAAAAAGTGAGATGATAGAAATTCAACAACGGTTGTTACATTGCACGTTGCTGTCTTGAAAGTAGCTGCGCAGATTACGAGGCATAAGCATGTAAAATTGGTCAAAATAAAAATTTTAAGCGTTCACTGCTCCCTTCCAAGAGTCTTGAGATTTTTGACAAGAGAGAGCCGGTAGCAAATGTGTACATCGAGGTCCACATAAGACATCAATGGGATTCATTAATTCCGTTGCATAAGACTTTCTGCATTTTGTGCCTAGTATTGTTCGTTTGTGTAGCAACCCCAGTGACGTACACACAGACACAGGCATGGCCTGTCAGGTGTACCATGCGTCCTCTTGAGTGGCCGGGAAAACGAGGAGCTAAGGACCAACAGACGCAGCGGGCTGTTTGCGTAGACTGGGGAAGGAGGGCAGGGCGGCGGCAGAAGAGAAAGTGGAGCCTCTTGTTTTGCTGCTTCCCTGGGAAGATGCCCAGTGACCCTTAGCAGGAGCTCAGCTGGCGTGCTGTGCTGAGTCCCTTTTTTAAGTGCAAAGGTACCGTGCTACCTTTCTAAGACTGTTGGGATGAAGATTCACAGACTAGGTGGCTCAAAGCAACAGAAATGTATTCCTTCAGTCCGGGAGTCTTGAAGTCCAAAGTCCCAGCTGTCATGGTGCCACAATACCTTCTCTCAGGTTACAGGAGAAACTTGTTTTTCTCTTTTCCCAGCTTCTGGCGGTCATGAGAAATCCTGGTCATGCAATGGCTTGCAGGCCCATCACTCCGTCCCGCCAATCTCGGGTTCTATCTTTGACTCTTTTCTCTTTCTGCCTCTGCTTCTGCCTCTCTCTCTCTCTCTCTCTCTCTCTCTCTCTCTCTCTCTCTCTTTCTGTCTCTTTCTTTCTGTCTCTCTCATTTCTCTCTCTCTGCGTCTGTCTTTCTGTCTCTGTCTCTGTCTGTCTGTCCATCTCTGTCTCTGTGTCTCTGTCTCTCTCTGCCTCTATCTCTCTTTCTGTCTCTGTCTCTGTCTGTCCGTCTCTGTCTCTGTGTCACTGTCTCTCTCTGCCCACCCCCTTCTGCTGGGACTTGAACCCAGAACCTCATGCGTGCTAGGCAAGTCTACCCTCAGCCCTCTCTTATTTTTATAAGGACACAAGTCATACAGATTAAGAGCTCCCCTTAATCCAGCATGAAGCATCTTTATGTAACTAATTACATATGCAATGCCCCTGGTTTGTTTTATTTATTTATTTATTTATTTATTTATTTATTTATATTTTAAATGTATTTGGTTGTTGCAGCTTCTCACTGTGCAGCTTGGACTAGTGCTCTTCCTGCTTTCAGCCTCCCCAGCACTGGGATTACAGGCATGCACCTCTACTCCCCAACTCTGGCTGGCTCAGCCTGCCCTGGGGGCGTGGCTGGCATGGCATGTGGTGCTGGGGATTGAACTTTGGTCCCTGTGCTTGCGTAAGCAGGGGCTTAGTCTGCTGAGCTCTTTTGCCAGCCCAAGCCCCTGGTTTTAAATAAACTCACATTCGTTGGGGTTAAGACTTCAACATACCTGTTTTTGGGAGAAACACAATTCAATCCACAACATATATTATGTTTATTTCTTTCCAAGAGTGAAAAATAGCACCACAAGTTTTATAAAATCAAGGAACATTTGTCTATTTTTTATAATTCTTACTTCTAATCAAAATCCAGTGCTGTTGCATGCAGCAGATGCATATAAGACTATTTAAAGGGACTTCAGAATATTTGAAATCAGACAAGCCAGCAATGAAACTGAATCTCAGAAGTCAAATAAATAAAGAAAAAAAATACAGAGGTCACAAAGAGAGCTTCCTTTCCTTCTCCTTATGATAGATTTGTCAATCTAAGATAGGATGTGTAGAACTGAATCAGTCTCTGCCAAGGGTTTACTATTCCAAGCACATTTTCACGGAGGATAGACCCAGGGAATACAGTGTTGGGAGAGGAAAAATAAAAGCAACAAACATTACTTAGAATTGAGGGAAGTATAATCATGACTTGAAGTGATGCATTTGCAATTGAATATTTCTTCCATTTTCAGAACTTCGGCGCAATCACTTTGCTTTTGCTTTACTTTTATCTGCAATTAAGCCATAGATTGCTTCTTGCACTTCTAGTAACTCTTTGAGCAGTAAGATCGAATGCATAATATTTTGGTCCACTGAAGAAAAGGAAGAAGTCTACAAAGGAAGAGTTCATTTATTGAATTAGTTTATAGAAGATCCTAGATATGTTCAAGTAAATATTCTGCCCCCATTCCAATATAACATGCAATGTAAATATGCTATTTCAAATTTCATCAATTTTTTTAGCAAGTTTTTTTTCCCTTATACTTACTGTTCTCCTGGAAAATGGCATCAATTCTACTTCGTATTCCTGGAAAGGCAATTGATGTACATTTGGGATAACCCGGGTCCATGGACCGTCTCTGATTATCATACCTGATAATAATAAAATACCACATGATTTAAGACTGATACAGACTACAAGGATAATAGTTTTTTTTTAATGGCATGCATGTTGGCAAAGTGTCTTTCAAAATTTGGTTTTCACAATGTCCTATTTACTTGGATTAGGGTTGGTTAATTTTTTAACCTAAGGATACATACATATGTATTAAACTATGTAGAATACATTAGTTATACTAAGATGCTTATCAAATAAACTTGGATGGTTATCATTAATCAGAAAACAGAGCTCTTGTGGCTGATTCAAGATTATTGCCAAAAACAAGATCTTCTGTGTTTTAAGGATGATGCTTAACTGGTATGTCTATCATCTATATGTATTTGCGTATCTATAAATATAAGCATTATGTGCATCTGAGGCATCATATTTTAATGGATATAAGGACAACATTTACAATATTTACAATATTTACAAATTGTGTGTATCAGAATTTAATCCTTACGTGAAAATTAGCCTATGTCTTTTTCCATTTTAGCCCTTTATGAAGTTGTGTTATTTTTTATGATTCAGAATCCTTAATACTATTTTTCAGGCATTCTGATTTTATCAAAATGTTTTCAAAATCCATAGTAACATCAAGAGAATGGCTATATCCTCACTAAAACCTATCAGAGACCCTGTAGGTTTTTCAAATCTTCATGTGTGTTTGTTAATGGTTTGCTGACAGGGCAGAGAAGCACAGAATTTAACTTCTGATTGAAAAAACACAGTTCATCTTACCTCCAGAACAGATTGTTCGCAAAGAAGTAAGTCTTTCCTTTGTAGGAAACAGCGGCATCAAGAGCTTGCACGGTGCTTGGAAATCCGAAGTCCGCTATGTGCCTGGGGTAGCCGCGCTGAACGTCGTAGCCGCTCATCGCCCAGTACTGGTTTCCTGTCAGTGATTCAGGTTAGATGTTAGGTAAAGTTTTCCCATTTTTACAAAATAACATAACACCATTTTCTGGCCATTGTAGAAATTCATCCTAGAATTAAAATGGAACAGATAGTCTTTGAAGATGGAGGTGGCCAAGGTGAGCTCATGGCGGTTATGGTGTCCTTAAGGGTTCTGCTTCATACTTTTGCAAATTCCTAGTTGAATTTCTTAGTCCTGGTATTTAGGGCTCTACAGTTTCAGGCCTTATTTCATGTAGCTTCTACACAGCAAGTAAATTGTAACCTATCTAGGGTGAGGGTGAGGTCATCAAATTCTACCTAGGATGAGAACGAGGAGTGACAAAGATGGCCTCATGTGGTCTTGTTATGGGGAGCACCAGGGCCTGAGGGGGGCTCAGACCCACGCGGCAGCCCATCACCAAGAGGAAGCCGACCCTCGCTCCTTGCCCAGGCCAGGCCGACCCGCGCTCCTCAGCTCTTCTCTTTCACACCTGTACTGGATAACAAGGAATCCCACCCCTGCAATCTGGCGCCATGAAAATAAGGACTTTAGGAAGTTACCTTTAAATATGAAGACCAGGTCTTTATCTGGGTCCTCGTAAGCAGCCTGTATATCACTGGGCAAGGACGGCCAGAATAGAGAAATGAAGTTGAGCTCGACCTCTTGCAGCTGAGGGTGCCGTCTCCAGAAGTACCTAAGAGAACATAAAGACACACACACACACACACACACACACACACACACACCTAAGTTATTGGTTTCTAGGATTCTCGGGCAAATAGTGGCTCTAGTAAGATGAAGCTGTGATGTAAAGCAACTGTCCGTAGAGAATATAATCTTTCTGCACTGCACACAGATATGCATATACTTCAGGAGGATATAACAATAAAATAGGTGCAGTTTCCAGCCCCGTGACCAGCCCATGCCTAAGTTCTATGGTAACGTCCATCTGGAAGGTTCTGTTTCCCCAAGAGGTCACAAGAGTGATTTTTTTTTTTTTTTTTCCGGAACCAATGATTGAACTCAGGCCCTTGCGCTTGCCAGGCAAGTGCTTATTCTCCTGAGCTATCTCCCTGGCCCCAAGAGTGATATATCTTACTTGGTGACATTTGGCATTGTCCTTTATGGACACATTGACAATGTATGTCAGTACTTTTCATTATTTATCCCTTTAAATGTTAAGAATAGGGCCGGCCAAATAGCTCAGCAGATTAAAGTGCCTGCAAGCAGGTGCAGGGGCCAGGAGTTTGATCCCTGTGGCCTGCCATGCCGGCCCTGTGCCTGGGATGCCTGAGATGGCAGTTAAGATTGGGTGTGGTGGCACATGCCTATAATCCCAGCTCTTGGGAGGCTGTAAACAGGCAGATCACTACAAGTCCGTTCTAGTAGTGAGACCATGAACACCCTGTAGACCTTTCCCTAAAATACAAAATAAATAAATAAATAAATAAATAAATAAATAAAATTTAAGAATATACAGTCACTGGCCAAAGCTATAACACACACATGCAGCCTGTGACTCTACAGTCAGAAAGTAGCAGTGGAAAAATGGACATTTTCAGTTGGATGCCTTGCCTCACTGCCGGGTAAGGGGCAGTTTCCATTTACTTGGCTGATGTTGGATGGAACCAAATGACGTTTTGGTTCCGTTCAACTCAGCTGTTGAGTTCCCGGGCAACTGTAGGCCACATCTGTTTATATCTCAGTGCATACATGAATGTTTTAGGGCTTTTTTCTTGACATTTTGTGTTACCCAGAAAAATGCTAAAAAACCCTACTCCTTTTAATGCCTTGTAGACTGCAAAGGAAAAGCTCTTATGTAACTCAGTTAGAATCCAGTGTCAAGATGTGTTAATAAGAAGTCAAAAGAGGAGAAAATTGAATTTTCTACCTGTCTTTAAAGAAAAATATTTCTCCACGGAGCGTCGTAGCAGCATCAAATGTCAGCCTGGGGTCGCAGGCTCTGGGGGTGCTTGGTCCAGTAGGCTGGACGGGGTTGTCTGAAGGGCCTGGGAGGGGGGCGGGGTTTTATTAAGCGTAAGTCTGTGCGATTGTTAGTGTACTTTCTATAGCTGCTTCTCAGCAAGCTACAGATCTTCACCCGAAGAGAAATGCTGTCAGACTGCCCTGCCAAGCACTGACTCACCACACATTTGGCCTTCTTAAAGTTTTAATTTGCTTAGTGAGAATAATGATGCTTTGGGGCTACGTGCTTCTAACTCTGTGCTTCTGGCTGCGGGATGTCACTCCGTGGCACACGTACACCATGCTGTACTGCAGTTTTCTTCCTTTAAGAGGTCCTCTGGGGCCCTCCAGCCCCTTCTGCCACAAACAAGACTTTAGCACACATGCTTCACATGCCATGTACGTGTACCCCTGAGGACCTGTGTGAAAGTTTCTTTCATAGATACATCATCGAGTAGGATTGCAGACACGGAAAAGACATGGCATGTATTTTTAGAATATATAAAATTGAGAAGCATAAAAGAGGAGGGGAGACATCCCCACTGTTCCGAGACTAAAAACTGAGAAACATCACGGCATAGCTCATCCTAACATCTTGAGGCAGAATCCGAGCCAACCCCAAGGCCTCCTTTGCTGATGCTAATGTATTCCTGACAATGTTTAGAGATAGGGGTGAACCTGCCCTGAAGACAGCATGCGAGTGACGACCAAGGAAGATCTACGTAGACGCCCGGCTCTTGGGGCTCCTGCCTGTGCCTGCTCCCTGGTCCCACTACCGTCTACTGCCCGGTTCTTCAGATGACCTTACCGTAGATGTCCTGAATTCCATTGATGTCATCTTGAGGGAGCGAGTAGGTGCTAGGATCCCTGAAGGCATAGTTGGGGTACATCAAGGCGCCGGGGTCTTTGGAGTGGGAGAGCCCCAGAGAGTGGCCGAACTCATGAGCAGCAACGAGAAACAGGTTGTAACCTGAAACACAAGAGTGTGTGGTGAGTGACTCCGTGTGGGTTCAGGTGGTAGAAATTCTAACTACAAGGGTCCTGCTTCCTATCAAAGCCCAGACGCCTTTCCCTGGCTCCCAAGAGCTGCCACATCTGCAGATATTTGAGGGCTTGACCTCAGGTGTCTTGCAGTTCAGCCAACCTGTGCGCCTCCTCACAAACACATCATGCCTTTTCTTTACAAGTTCACTTTGAAAAACACCAGTAATCATAGTTGCAGAGTACCCAGCATATGCTGGGCAAGGTAATAATGTACAATGCTTACAACGAGTTCATGAAGTGTTAATAACATTTTTACAACAAAGGAACAAAAGCCCATAGCTTTTAAATATCTTATCATTTTTGCATCTGGAAAGTTGTAGGTCTGAGGTCAAGACACCTGCTTTCACCATAATGTTCGACTTTAATCAGATAGTAGCATAATCAGGAAGTAAAATCTGACCAGCGCTCTAAGGCTTGCTTTCTTTCCAGTATACTGTTCCATTATGCTTTCAGGAACATTATGTGCCTCAAAAATCACCATTACGTGCCTGGAGCACAGTACGAGAGGCTGTGGGGGAGCCGAGCTGACTCTGAGCTTCCAGGGTGCATAATCTAGGAGGGGAAGTGTGTGCCAACAAGCTGAGGGCCCAGCACAGTGGACGAGAACAGCGAGGAGAGGGGTGTGGCAGTGCCAGGGCTCGTTTGTGGAGACCTCAGCACAGCAGAAGACAAGGCAGAGGGTGCCCTGGTCACTGCACGGCTAGGTGTGGGAACCTGGGAAGGTGGAGGTCGGGGTCTGGGAAAGGCATTTCAGGAAGAGAAGGATCGTGAGCAAGCACAGGAGGATGAAAGCACAGGAAGTGACCTGGAAACATCTGTGATGTGGCTGTGCCCTTAACATAGGAAAGCCAGCCAAGAAAAAGGAGGCCGGATAATCACTAAGAATTCAAATTCCAAGTGAAATATTTGGGCCTGGTTCGGTGGAGAATATGGGAACACTGAAAACATTTAAGCAGGCAAATAGTGAGAACCAAGATGGGCTCTCCTAGGAATAATCTTGCTGTAGTAGTAGAGAAAACAAGAGAGGGCGGAGACGGGGGAGGCTAGCGGAGGGAGGAATTTGCATCACTGAGCAGGTGGGTGACCATCCCAGGCAACAGGGGATAGGAAGAGTGGGCACTGCTCCTTACTCTGTGTGCACACAGTTCCTAGCACGGGGCTTCGGGCGAGTATGTGCTGGCAGCTGAGACGCTGAGACGCTGAGAGGGTGGGAGGGGGAGCAGGTGGCAAGCAAGCAAAGGGAAGGGACTTTTCCCTTTATTAACTAAAACATGCTGTCTTAAACCTGATTTGGTGGGGCACTCCTGCAATCACAGCATGGGAGAGGCTGAGACAGGAGGATCTCTAGGAGTCTGAACTGCGTAGTGAGACCTTGTACCAAATAAAAAGAAAGAAAGAAACATAAAATGTGCTCTCTTGCTCCTATCATTTTCTGACAAGCCTACGTTGCTGCCCTCCGGCCTGGTAAAGGAACCACAGTCTGGCTATAGCTGCTCTCGCTGTTTTTGGCTTCCCTCCAGACAGCCTTCCCTTTCTTGTTTTGAGGTTTTATTCCTAGAATGGGTGGTTCGCTGCACAGGAAGAGGCCGCTGAAGATGAAACAACTAGAGGAGAGCATGTGGCTGATTGTTCCTCACAGGAGAACCTTCCAAATTATTCTATTATACTGAAAATTTAATTCCTTCTGAATTTGCAAAAATTCAAAGAATAGGCCTTTTCAAACATCACTGCCCTTCAGAACTTCAGTAAGAGATATGACCTAAAGCAACGACCAGCACCGTTTTTAGGCTTTGCGCGTCTCTGCAGCTGCCTGGCCTGTCACCGCATGAACAAATGCATGTAGCTTCTTACAGCACAACCTGGCACCGGCAGGCACAGGCAGGATTTGACCTGACCCCAGCCTGCTGGGGTGTGAATGTTTCTCTTAGAAGTCTGTGTGCTATAAGCTCAGTCCCGATGCAGCAGAGCGGGGAGGGGGGCTAACGAGAAGCTTGGATTTGCGTCGCCGTGAAGGGCTCTGGCTGGGAGTCTGCTCTTGTCCTGCCCCTCTGTCTGCTGCCATTGAGAGGATGAAGCAAGAAGAGCCTCTTCGGATGCCAGTGCTTCGGCTCTGGGCTAGCTGGCCTCAAACCTCATGAGAAATAAAGTTCTCTTCCTTGTCAGTGACCCAGTCTCGGGTATTCTGTTATAGTGGCACAAAGGCATGAAGACGTGCTATGGCTTGTCCCTAGATGTCCCCCAAAGCCTCATGCAGCCCTGGCGTGGGCTTCTGGAGTTTTGAGTGACCCCTGGTCCAGTGCTGGGATTATGGGTGTGGGTACAGCCGTCCTAGGGCTGGCAGCCTGCACCCAACGTTAGGGAGGGAGAGGGCTCGCTCCTGCTGCTTTTGCTGCTTCCTGCCACCATGAACTGCTGCCCCCTTCCATGTGCCACCCTGCCTTGGAGCCAGGTTGATTATGAACTGAAGCCTCCACAAACGGCGAACTAAATAAACCTTTCTTTCCTTAATTTTGGGAATCAGGTATTCTGTCTCAACAACTAGAGAAAAGTAACCAAGACAGTCATTATCTTAGGAAGTAACGTCAGTAATTAGCTTTGGGATTTTTTTTAAACCTAAATAATTTAGTATCTTGAGGTGGCAAAAGTTTTAAATGATCTATTTGTATGAATTTGAAATACTAAAATAATTTGCATGTGTGTGTGTGTGTGGCTGAACACACGTGGGCAGATTCTTATGTGGACAAAGGTAATTCAGAAGCTGCATGTGGACAAAACCTCGGTGGATTTACCTTCTGGGCTCATGGAGGTCCATGTCTCTTCTGCATCAAAATGAGCATCTCCTCCAATACCCTGACCCGGCTGAAAGGCATGAGCAAGGATCCCGTTGGGCCCGTCAAATGGGGAACTGTCACCATGCTCTACAAAAAGATAATTCATGTTTAGTCCTGTGGTGCCTCTGATTAGCCAGAGAAAGCAAGCTGAGAGAGACCGCTGAGAGCGCACCTCTCTGGACGAAAGCAATGTTGATGTCCGCCTCTTCCTCTGTGGTCCTGGTGAAGGTCAGGCGTGAGGCAGTGCTCCACACTTTAAAAGCTTCTTCAATAGCTGATTCCACCTCAGCTCGAAGCAACTGTGGCGTGTAATTTCTAATCCTTGGAGACAAGAAGTTACACAAAGCATTTGTCATTGCTCAGGACAGGTTCCCATGAGCAGACCCAGTTGCTGTTGGTGGAGCGAGTTGCATTCGTGGTGTCTACCATGGGGGCAGAGTAGGGGACGGTGCAGATTTCAGGCCTGAAGATGGACATCGCACTGGAAAAATAGCCTCAGTGTCCTCACTTGTAAAACAAGGATAATAAATAGGATCCTTCTCAGGAGGTTGCCCTGGGGATTGAATTCCTGAAGAGCACTTAACTCACTGCTTGGTAAACAGTGGTCCACAAATTCAGGGTACTAGTCTCATTACCAACATGGGAATGTGGGCCTAGATTTCCTAAGCCTTATTTTGGCCTTAAAATGAGTGTCTAGAGAGACAGGTTCTCAATGCCATAGACTTGTCTAGATTGTTTGGAGGTGGAGGACAAAATGACAGGCTTTGGGGTGAAAAGAATCTGTAAGGTCTCTAGCCTTTCATTCTCATACTTGTTTACAATTTGTGTTTCATTCATTCATGCATTCATTCACTTATTCTTCATACTCTACAAGTTCAGGGGTATTTGCCTCTTTTTCCTGGGGTGGCCTATGTCCAGGGACACTGTCTCCATGTCATTAGAGCTCAGTCACCTCCAGTGGACAGAATGAATTCTGCAGCTCCAGAAGCTTACCTGTAGGTCAGGTCGGTGTGTTTCCACCTGGGCCTTCCTGGCGTCAGCATGTAGTCACCGGTGTCAGGCACTCCACAGCGAGGTCTTTTCATCATCTCCAGAGTTTCTGCATCTGGCTTTCCCGTCACGTTCAATCCAAAAAATTGCTGCATTTCTTTCAGCTTTTCAACAAACCTGTGGGTGCTATTCCAAGCTGAAGACCGAAAATCCTTTATTTGCAAGTGGTAGAACTGTTCCAGGTATTTCTGGACAAAGTAAGCACACACAGTCCTTGTTTGGAAGCGTTCTCCAGTTCTCTGGGCACTTTGCAATCTTTTCTAAGTTATTGCAGAGCTCCAGTGGGGACCACTAACATGACAGCCACTCTTACAGCCAGAACATTATAGTCTGACTTGAGAGAACAATGGCGACTGGAAAAAATAGTCCCTTAGTCAGTGTTCCAGCTCATATTCGTGCATAAACATAGGCCTTGTGAAGGGTTGGCATCCAGTTGCACATACAAAAATGTTACTTATCTTTATTTGAAAAATTAGGACTAGCAGTTTTAAATGTCTCTTAACATATTAGTTGAACCAATGAAGATTTCCTTTTAAAACCCTCTTACTACTGGAAAGAAGTTTTAATTAACTGCATGGGGCGCTTGTAATGTGACAATTCAGGTTCCAGCGGTCCATACTGTCTTTTTTTTTTTTTTTTTTTTTGCGGAACCGGGGATTGAATTCAGGCCCTTGCACTTGCCAGGGAAGCGCTTATTCCACTGAGCCATCTCCCCAGCCCCAGGAGTCGGGACGGGGGCGCGAACCGGCGACCTCGTGCTCCAGAGCCCGGCGCGGAAACCGCTGCTCTAGGTCGCAGCCTCATACTGCCTTTTAAAAGAGAATAAATTGTTTCCAAAGAACCCCAGATACATTTTGGATAACAATAGCACCATTGATATTAAAATTTTACTCACCAGAACCTGAAAGAGAAAAATGGAATCTGAATGGTATAATAGATACTGGGAAGAGGGAATGCATTTATTCAAAAGGAAATAATTACTGAGTTGAGAAAAAGGGCAGGAGAGGGAGTGAGGGAAAGATTTATCTGTGTATGTAAGCAGGGTGGTTTGGACAATTGTACTGTGCAATTCTGCCAGTTTATGGAAAGAAGCAGTTATGCTTTAACTTGTTTTGTCTCCTTTTTTTTTTTCAGTTGTTTGTACTTTTTCTCCTTATTTTCTTATATACTTTTATCTTGTTTTTCTTTCTTCTTCAATTTTATATGCATGTATCTGGTAATATGAATAACTGTTTGGAAGACAACACTATGTATTACAATACTCCAACATTCATATTACCTTATTAAGTGAAATTCTGTATCGCTTGTGATTTTTTTCTGTTTTAATTATAATTTGTACTCTTTTTTTTTTGGTGGAGCTGGGGATTGAACGCAAGCCCTTGCCCTTGCACTTGCCAGGGAAATGCTTATTCTACTGAACCATTTCCCTGGCCGCTATAATTTGTACTCTTTAAAAAATAAAACAACAACAAAAAAAAAGCAATTTTACAAACAAAATAGCTTTTTGGAAGGTGTCAGCACTCATTTGGGAATAAAGTTTCCAAGGAGTGTTAATAAGCCAATTATGAGTCTCCTTCATCTCGCCTCGTGAAGCCTGAGACTTCCTGTCCCAGCGTCACAAGTGACACAAGACGGAGCACACACACACTGGGATCACAGAGGCTTGGGGGAATCTCAGCTGTGCCACGGGCTAGCTGTGGGGACTTGAACACACTGCTCATCTGATTTAGGATTCACTTTGGCCTCTGTCATGGGTGTAGTAATCACAGGAATGGCATGAAATTAGCAGAGTGCCTTGTACAGAGTATGTAATTGGTAGGCTTTAGATGTTGCCAATGCAAACGAAGGGATTATATAGCCATTCTAAGGAAAAAAAAGCATCAAGAATAACACTTTTCCAAAACTTCATAGGTAAGAACATCTTGCATGAGAAAGTTTTAACAGCTTTCCTTGTATTTCTTAAAGCTTTGGCCTTTCAAGCTACAAAGCAAGGGGAAAAGGAAGTTACTTGGTTTGCTTCTAAAATGCTTCCAAGAGTTTATGAGTCAACAAGTCAGCGCAGGAAAATCTCATTACACTGTTTACTCATTTCTAGTTCGTTATAATCCCCCATTGACATGCTCTCTTCTATACTTAGCAGTTTTGGTTACAAAACAACGCCCACATAGGAGGTGGCAGCCCCTTGACAACCGGATCACAGACATACTAGAAGAGAAAGCCATAGGAAAGAAAGCAAGCCATTTGCAGGAAGCTCCATAAACAAAACCATCCCTTCTAGAGGGGTTGCAGCCGGATGCGTCTCCGCAGTGCATTCCCAGGCTTGGAGGAGTCCCACTTATTTTCATGACTAGATTTTAGAGAGCCCAGTGTTACCATCTTGGAACCTTCTAGAACATTGATAAAAGATGTTCAAACTCAACTGAACCACACAGATAATTTCTTTCAGGCTCTTTAGATCAAAAAGAGAAAACAACCCTCAAAAAAAAAAAAAATCCTACTAATCAAGAAAGCAACCACCATTCAGCTGACAGTTTACCTGAGCAATTTTTGTATTTTTCTCTTCTGAGTGTTCAGAAGGTACGGGAGAGGCCTTGGCAGACTGCATGTGGAGTAAGCAAAGAAACAGAAGTGTCTTCATGCGCAACATGACTGCCTTCCAACACAGCCTCTCTTGGCCTTCTTTTCTGTCCCTCTGGGTAGGGCCAGATGGGTACTGTGGGGAGCACAGTACCAGGTGTCACTCACTGCTGTCTTTTAGTCCTTTATAAAGCCATGTCTTCACAAGTGCTGCATCAGGAACATGGAGCAATGCAAGTTAACTACAGCCTGACAGTTTTGCAACTTTAGAATGTGATTTAGTACCTCCAAAACAGGGGAGTATTTCAACAGAAGAGAAAACACAATTTGCTCCGCTTTGCTTTGAGGTTTTTAGATGTTTAGTTTTGCAAAATTATCTGGTCAAGGAGAAGGAAGAGGAGATGAATCTTGAAGCCATGGGGTTGCATGTTCTGGCTTTGTAAGGTGTTCAGTCTGTATTAGTTTATGCAGGAGAATATGGTCATATTAGAGGTAGGTTGGTGACCATGGGACCAGGGAGTTCCACCCTAAAATCTCTGTATTTACCCACCCTCTGTGTCTCAGAGGAGAATGCACACGCTCAAGGGAACTGTCACAGAGCAGGCTAGTGTCCCAGGGTAGGTTCTGGAGGATGTGGCTTTGGTATTAATGTGGTAATAGAAAATCCCCAACCTGTAAGCTCAATTTTCTAAGAAAACTCATAAAGACCAAAATACTGATTGTGAGGAGGGCAATTGTAATAATAATAAACATTTGTTAACTATTTGTGATTCCCGGACATATATATTGTGCACGATTTATCTCAGTCCATTCTTACACAACTTTCAGAGGGATTTAGATTACTTGTACAAGACATGTGTTTAGCTTGTGGGGGAGCCGGGACTCTGCCTTGATCCTATGCTGAGAGACAGAGCTAAAAACTCATCAGACCTTGCCGTGTAGCCTCTTCCTTGAGTCCTAGGCTGGCCCATAGTGTAGCAGTAACTCTAGGCCTACATTACATTCATGGAGAGGGAAGAGAGAGAGAGAGAGAGAGAAAGAGACAGAGAGAGAGAGAGAGAGAGAGAGAGAGAGAGAGAGAGAGAGAG